CCCCAAAACCCCAAAACCCCAAAACCCCTTGGAATCAAATCAAATCAGCTTTTTTAATCTTTTAAATAAAAATGAAAAGAAAAAATTAAGTATTCACAACTAGATAAAATCTCAATGCTATTAAACTTTAAAACGACGTCATGTTTCAAAGATTACTTGAGATTAAATCATCTATAGATACTTAAAGACCCAAGGTGTACCCCCATTTAGACAAAAACTTAAAAGGGAAATTCATTCAAGAGTGTAAGATATATCCTTAAATTAAAATTTTTGCATTAGCTAAATTTACTGAGATTGAAAGAGAAAACAGAATACTTTTAGAAAAAATACAAAAATTAGAATAGATTTAAAGCAATGACTATGGTCTATCACTTAATGCAATAGTAATTGATAAAGGTATTAATAAATAATACACAACCTCTTGAACTTTTGACACCTCTTAGAGTCAATATATTAGCAGAAACTAGCCATTTAAGCTATAACAGATTTAGAAAATAGAGTTAGAAAACAAAAAGTTATTGGAAAGATTAAGGGTGTAAAGATCATCCATTAACATGCAAGAAATAAATGAGAAAGAAAAGCAAAGATAGAGAATATTAGAAGGCATATCATTAATGCCATTCAAAAATACATATTAGGCAGGAAGAGGCCATGCTAGAAATTACAGTTCAGACAATTTTAAAGAATCCCCCATTAGAACTCAGTCCTAAATTTTAATTGCTCAACGGTATCCGTTTTTAATGGAAAAAAAGATTTGCCAATAGATTAGCCTTAACAATAGTTTTATGGCAAGCTCGGAATTTGATTATAAATCAAAATAATTAGACTTAGATAGAATGGTAGTATATAAGAAAGGTAAGATGATAGAGGATTAGTAGTATATAGTTGAAATATCATTTAGCAAAAGCGAGATGGTAATTGCTATATTTCCACTTGATAACCCTTCTTGAACTAAAGTGATGACAATAGAGAACAGTTATCCCAAATTTAAAGCAGATCAAATGATGAAAAAATTTGATAACAATTATGAATATTTGGCTGAAAACATAAGAATTAATGGAAATTTCCTTAAAATCATAAACTATGATAAGATTAGAGATAATAGTGAGATAAGACTTAAAAGCAAATCTCTATTTAGTAAAAACAAAATTAAGATTAAATCACTATTAGCTAGTCCTAAGAAGAAGTATTTATAAGTAGTAAATTCGTAAATTAAATGTGATAAAAACTAATCTGTAACTGAAGCAATAGTGGAAGAAGAAAGTTCAAGGAAAGGAGATTATTCTGATTACGGCGAGATTAACATAGGCTCATTTGGGAATATTTAACCTAATATAGCCAAAACATCAAATACTAATAGCAGGATTAAGACTAAGAAAACATAAGTATTATAAACTCAAGATATTCATAACTAGAGAAATAGCTAAACTTCTCATGACATAAAAGTACAGAATAAGAAAGATAAGTTTACTAAAGTCTAATATGGCAGCTTTGGAAATTTGGAGATATTGCATGACAGTGAAATAAGTCAGACAGAGAATACAAATATATAACCCAGTTTTGATAGTGCCAATCTAGATAAATAGAATTAAACTCATTATGCTTTTGAAAACGAAAGGAAAATAGTTTTTGAAGAAAGTACAAATATGATAACTATCCATGATCAGAAGAATTCGAAATAAAAAGATGAGGATAAGCAGATTTCAAAGTCTCTCTAAGATAACTCTATTTTCATAGATAACCGTATTCATCAATAGCAGGCTAGCTATCAACAATCAGATTAAACTAAAGTCAATGTTAAAATGGAAAACAAGATTTTCTTGAAAACAAGTCAAACCAATCAAGACGACTAATTAAAGTCAAGCATTTAAACTTTGATATCTGATGAGAAACACTAAATAAATTTTTTAAATGATCAATATCAGGCTAGATCTGAAATTAAGGATGAAATAGATGACTAACTGAATTAAACTATTACTGAGAATTATGGTGAGATAACAGCAGCAGAAAATGATATAATTATAGATTAATATTAATATAGAGATTGATTTTTTTAATTATTGATTATTAATCATTAATACCCATTTTACTTAGAGGAATGGGGTTTTGGGGTTTTGGGGTTTT